AGGAAAGTGACAAACTACATTTAATTAGTCTTTATTTTATGTTATAGTCCTTTTGTTTCCGTTCTATTATGTATAACTACTGTCATATGACTTAATAAAGTTTATTAAAAAATAAAAAAAAATCCTTTATTTAAAAAACTTTATATTTTAAAACGAACAGAGAAAGAAAACAACTTAGCATATTCTACATTTTATTTTTTGTTATTTTATGCATTTTAGCCACAAAAGGTTACTATCTGTTCTGATCTGTTTTTGATTTGTTAGTATGTTTTACGTTTTTATGTCGTCTTTCAAGTTTCACTTTTGAAGTAGAACGAGGAAATCAGGAAGCGTCAAAAAGTGTCCTGCTCGGATTTTAGTCCTCTCTGGTAATGTTTTACTCCAGTGTTGTATATATTGATTGCTAACTGGCGTATATAATGTCATTTCGGGTGAAAAGTTTGGTTAGCGTTAGGAGTGTAAACCCGTCTTGCTGCCGAAATTCGGGTACATTACACGTCAGCGTTAGCTTAGCGCTACAGAGCCATATGGATGCTATGGATGGTCAGATCAGCTACTAACATTGTCTCCTCAACATATTTGCATTTCAATTTGACAGTATGTGAGTTCTTGGGAATTTATGTCAGCTGAAATGTTTTTTGTTCCGGTATTTTATTGTGACTTTTGTACTAGGGATGGCCACCCCGTCACAGTCTTCACTTCATATGAGATCGACGGATCTCATCAAAAAAGAGCCCCTGGACTACGGAGGATTTGGAGAAGTTTACTTGTGCTACCATGCAACCCTCGGCCAGGTGGTGTTGAAGACAGTGTACACAGGCCCTGTTCGCAGCGAGTGAGTTCTCCGTGTAGCTTCTGGCTTGCTGGGTATTCCCATTTGTTTTGGTCACCAGCAGGCTCAGCCAGACGTTTTAACAATTTTACACCTTTGATTGGACATAGAACATCAGTTTACTTTCACTAGGACTGTTGATTGTTTAAAATAATAACTGTGTAAGCCTATTTGGTATTAGAGAAAAGTGTGCCTATGATGTTCAGGATGTGCGTTATGAAGAAGCATGCACTAATTCCTTTTTCTGGGCACTTCCTAGTTCGTCAGAAATGCGGATGTAGGATCAACATCCGGTTCAGGGCGGATGAGTCCAGCAACGGATTATGTGACAATGGACCCATGGGCACAGACATACTCGTGCATTGTGTTAATGTTGATGTTTTGAGTCACTTTTTCGTTTTTGCTTTTATTTTACTTGGTTTATGTTCATTTAATCAGTCGTTCTGTATCTGTTTGTAGTTCTGCGTTATTCCGTATATATTTGCAGTTGTTTTGCTGTGTTTGGGGACTTTTCTGTCCTTTTACTTTGTATTTCTCTGGATTTGTTTTACATCGGTTTTGGCAGTAATACATTAATTGCTGTGGTACTAAAAACTGATTCATCTTGGCTGAATGATGGGAACTGATAGCAGAAACACTAACTTCTATAAGGAAATTGAGAAAGAATTTAATGGGGATCATTCCCATCAAGTCAGATATATGGTCTACTTAAAAAAGTATTAGCATATTGGGTTGGTGAATACCTATGTTCTACCCCAAGTCTCAGTATGATGCAAGATGTACTACTATTCTGGAAGATATCTGGTCCTCACTATATTTACTATATCTTCCAGGGAGAGTAAAAGGTCACTGCTGGAGGAGGGGAACATCATGGCAAGCTTGAACCACGAACGAGTTGTCAAATTGCTGGGCGTAATCATGGAGGATAGAGACTGTTCACTCGTCATGGAGCTCATACCCAGAGGCAACCTATTAGTCATGCTAGAGGCGGTCAGCAAGTATAAAATCTATAGTCACACTGAAAAGGGAAAGAATAATTAATGGAATGTAGTCCCACCAGTTTTCATCCATAATTTATAGGCTTACATAACTCATATTTTAGTATTTATATATGAATCAACGGAGTAATACGCTAAATTCTTCCTGTTCATAGGTGTGTGTGCCAGTGTCCATTAAGGGCAGAATCATTGTAGAGATTTTGGAAGGGATGGTGTACCTCACAGAGCGACGCATCATACATAAGGACATCAAGCCTGAAAACATCTTGGTGGACAAGGATTTTCACATCAAGGTGTATTAATACACCCGTGAGGTATTTGATTCGGACCATATGTACAAACATTGTAATTAAAGTAGTTTTTCTTCTGTGCATTATAGATTGCAGACCTGGGCCTGGCCACCTGCCAGACATGGAGCAGACTGACAAAGCAGGAGTCTTGCAGGAAGATAAGTATGGGGCAATCAGCTAAGCAGAGAGGTGCCGGCACACTGAGCTACATGGCTCCTGAGCATCTGGAGAGTATACATACACCCTCCACCGAGAAGTCAGATGTCTACAGCTTTGCAATTGTAGTCTGGGTCATTCTCACTGGAAAAGAGCCTTATGCAAGTGAGTTGGGATGCCACAGACAGCATTTATCAATGAACAATTAGAATGAGACACTGTTTTAAAATAGCAGCCGCCTGGTTTTATTTTCTGATTTTATGGATTACCAGTAAAACTGACTGTGCTCATGACCCCTAACTACATTACACAAACCTCATGCAGACGACCAAAGTTCCTTTTCTGTGTCTAGATGCCAGGAATGACGACCACATCAGCCAGTGCGTTCGTAAGGGTGACCGACCAGCAGAGGACCTCATTCCAGAGGACACACCTGCAGAGATAATTCATCTGATGAAGAGGTGCTGGAATCACAATCCGCTGCAACGACCAACATTTCATGGTGATGCCTTTTTCTTTGTGTATTTTAAACAATATAGACACTGTCCAGTGTAGCAGAACAAATTATGTGAGCGCTAATGAAAACGGACACAAAAAGAAGAACATTTAAGATATTTAGTTACTTAGGTCACTATATTGTACAGGCATACATGTTCTTCAAATTTCGAGCTCAGTAATTTGCCCCTGGAGTTTTTTTATGTTGATTTTCTTCTCATCATTTCCCTCCTTTTCCTTTTCTTGCAGAGGCCTACAACAGTTTTCTTCCTTTCTACACAGAAAAGCTAGAACCATGTGTAGAAGAAGATTTAGTTCATCTGAGGGTAAATACCTTTTGTCTTTAGGATTTGATGTGGTAATCATCTTTTATTCACAGTGAAAACACTAAGCAGTTGGTTGGAAGTGGAAATACAGCCTAATACAAATATCATAGCAGTTTATATCATGATTCTCCATGTGCCTTTGTGCAGAAGTCATATGAAGGCCCAGATGAACTTGTTGAGAAGATGGAATTATTATCAGTGACACATGAAGGTGAGCACTGTTGGTAATTTTAATTGCCAAGACAAAAAAAAAAGATGTGCACCTTTCTGTGCTATGTTACATATAATTTTCTAATTGTTTAGAAAGCTTGAAAGGCAGTTGAAAAGGCTTCAGTCTCTCTGTTGCTTTAACTTTCCCCTCACCTTGCAGATTGTCCAGCTCCTTTGGTGAGTTCAGATAGAAGTGTGCCAGTTGAAGCCAGTATTGAGGACCTGCATGGTATCAATAACGGGCCACTTATGGGGTCTATTCAGCCAGATGCAAAGAAATCTAACAGCCCTTCAGCTTTGGATGAGAAACTGCATCGGGAGCTTCAGTACCACAAATATGGTACCTATAACTGTGAGCACCTTGACACCTCCAACAGCCCCGATCAAAAGAACTCTAATCCTTTCCTGCAAAACAACTTCAGCACTTCGGATCACACTGTAAGGCAACCAGAACCAGGCAAGCCCACTTCTGTATCCTCTGTCCATTCCTGGACAAAGGCTGAGCCGGTGCAACCCGCCACCAACCAAGAGATTTGGAATGAACCTGCTGCTGAGCCCATGAACTCTTACTTACCTACTTCATTCCACATGCCAGTGTCTACCAGCTTCCCATCTCTGTCACAGTTAAACCAGCTACATCCACATTCCCACTATGACCGGCAGGAGTCCTGGCCAGTGTCTGATATGTTTACTGCTGACATCACTCTTGGGCGTTTATTGACCCCTTCCAAAAGTGGCTCACTACAAGATCAAGGTAGGTATAGCGGCACCACTGAAAGCATCTTCACCTATAACATAACATAGTTCAGGAACTGCAAGGTCTATGAACAGCAGTAGCTAAACAGGATAGTGAAGACAGCCAGCAGGATCAGTGGTTCCCCTGTCCCTTTCCTGATGGAGATCTACCAAAAACACTGCATTCACAAAGCTACAGCGTTATTAAAGAAACCTTGCATATTATACATTAACGATATATGTAAGGTTTCTGATTTAGTGAAAGTGGTTTTGTTTGCTGATGACACTACCATATGGGCATCGGGTGAAAACCTACAGCAACTCTCTGGACGGGTTACACAGGAACTTGAGAAGATAAAGAAATGGTGTGATAGTAATATACTATCTCTGAATTTGGATAAAACTAAATTTATGGTATTTGGGAATCGTAGACTAGATAATGAACTTCAATTGAAAATTGGGGGAGCTAATATAGAACGAGTATATGAAATTAAATTTCTAGGTGTCATAGTTGATGACAAATTCTCCTGGAAATCTCATATCAGATATGTTCAGCACAAAATAGCAAAAAATATATCGATATTGGCAAGGGTTAGATATATTTTGGACGGGAAAGCACTACGCATTTTGTATTCTTCATTGATTTTACCATACTTAGAGTATGGCGTTGAAAACTGGGGAAATACATACAAAAGCTCACTTCAACCATTATATATATTACAAAAAAGAGCGATAAGAATTGTGCATAAGATGGGGTACAGGGATCACACCAATGGAGCTTTCATACA